TAGCTGTCCTCGGCATGAGAAGCTTCAAAAGATCTCATCCACCAGTGTTACCACAGCCCCGCACTTGGCAGGCAGAGCTTGTTTGTTGAATGAACAAACAGCATGTTAGTGCATTACATGAGCTTAATGGCACTTGATCATTCCCAACACTCTCCAGGTGGTGGGGTGGGCCTCCAGCCCGCCCAGGGGAGTTGCAGAGTACTGAGCAGCTGCCCATGCTACGGCACTCTCCCCTGAGGGCTCACAGGGAGCTGGGGAAAAAACCAGTGTACCAGGGCCAGGCAGTAGGGCTGGAAGGATCAAGCCATGGGAGGAACTTATGAGCAACAAATCAGTGAGAGGAAGAAAACCCTGAGCCAGGTCTGGGATGCTCAGAGCCAGGGACCAGACGTCAGGGGCAGAGGAGTCACAGCCATGTGATGGTTCATTTGGCTGTCAGCTTGACTGGAATAAGAGGTCCGAGACTGCTGTAAAGCATTACTTCTGAGTATGTCTGGGAGGGTGTTTCTGAAAGACAAGGACATTTCCATCCATGAGCCAAAGATGTGCCCTCACCAGTGCTGGCAGGCACCTTCCAATGAGCCAGGACCCAGACAGGACAAAAGAACACGAGAACAGTACATTCTCCCTCCTCTTCAGGAGCCTGAGACACTCTCCGTCTTCTACTCTTGGACCTCAAAATTGCAGGTTCTCCAGCCTTCAGACTGCAGGACTTACACCAGTAGCCACTGAGTTCTTAGGAGCTGGGTCTCCGACTGAGAGTTACACTGTTGGCTTTCCTGTTCCTGCATCCTTTGGTCTTGATCTGACCCCCACTACCAGCTTCCCCGGTTCTCCAGCTTGCAAGCACCATACCGTGGGACTCCTTGGCCTCCATAATTATATGAGCCATTCCCTCAATTCTCCCACAGACAGACATAGAATACAGATGAATATACATACATGTAGATATGGATAGCCTATTGGTTCTGTTTCTCTGGAGAACCCTTACCACACCCAGGAAGGACCAGGGCCAGCAGCCACGTGGGTTGACAGATTAAGTGGTGGCCAAGTGAGTGCTTCAGACCAAATAAAAGAAGCGGACTCGGGCCCCAACCATGAAGAGATCAACAGAATCCAAAGATCTTGGGTTTTGTTCTACAGAAACTTCTACAATGAGCTTTATCTGTGCTGTCCAGTATGGTAACCACCAGCCATATGTGGTTGTTGAGCACTCAAAATGTGGGGAGTATGACTAAGGAACTTAAGTGTTAGTCTTAATTTTAACTTAAATAGCCACCAGGGGCTGTTGTATCAGACAGCATAGATTAGGGTCTGAAAAAAACATGGGGCCTAAGTAGGGAGGGACTCTAGTAACACCTAGTTGAGACAGCTCAGGACACTAACCTGTGCCACATTAAGTAACCTGAAATATGTATGTGATGTGACCCAGCAGGAATCCCTGGGCCTGGCTCTCCTAGGTTAGAACAGAGTAGCCAGGTCTTTGAGAACTGTATGCATGGAAATTGAGGAAAATGAACAGAGGTAAACACAGTTAAGGAACAAATGTCCATAGCAAAAAGAAGTAAAGAAAAGCTCTGAATCAGCCTCAAAACCCTCAAAGAACAAATTTCCAACCAAGGAAGCCATCATTTGTATCCCGGAGGCTCCCTCGGCTCAGGTGAAGGACAGGAGGATTAGTTGCTTTGTCTATGTCACAGCACTCCATTCAGTTCCCATGTCCTTCTGCCTCCCTAACCCTATGGCAGTCTCAAGAGAGGGATTGCACCAATGAGCTGACCACGCTGGCCATGATGGGGAGGGTGGATGGAAGGACTGCCACACTGGAGGCAACCAGGAAGGACACTACCATGGTCCAGACACCAATCAGAGTGGTAATGGGACTGGAGAAATGAAGACACCAAGGCGCACAGTTGGGGACATGTTGGAGACTGTCTGGATATGGGGAGGAGGAGGGAGAGATGAGGGATGAGGCAATCTCCCCTAGTGGTAAACGGTCCAGGGACACAGAGGCAAAGGGTTTTTGGAGCTGGAGGACCAAAGTGGTAGGAAGAGAGTGTATAGTCTAGAACCTTGCACAGATTGCCTGGATCTGGGTCCTGGTTTTGTCCCTTATTAACTGGATGCCTCTGAGTGAACTTGGGTGAACTTCACCTGTTTTTCCACTATGAAGTACTACCCACCCCTCTTATCTGCAACATCTGTGCAGCAAGTGTAAGGAAGGATACTGAGTTTCACAGATCTGAAAAGGTCTCGCCTCTCCCCTTCCCTCACACACAGCGCCTGCCTTAGAACGATCAGGGCCCATGTCATAATGTCCTCCAGCCCTCTTTATGCCAGAAGACAGACCCTAGGTTATGCCTCACCCCCTAGGCTATATAGCCTCTCTTTTGGTGCCACTTCTGTCCGTCTCTAGTTTCTGAAACCCTCTGCCTCCGCCCTCTGGGTCTCAGGCTTAGCCATCAATAATGTCCTGTGTAGCCTCAATCTCGTTAACATTCTGAAATCCCTACCTAAAACTTGCTTCTCTGCTGAGGATGCTGCTTTCTCTGCGGTTCTAATGCTAATGCTGTCCCGGTTCTAATGCTAATGCTGTACAACTTTGTACAACTTTGTACAACTGCCCTAACGAAGAGTGAGCGTTCCTTGATGTTGTTTTCAAACCACTTTCCCTCCATCCTGAGAAAGCCTCACTGTTGAATCTCACGCCATCTGACTGTATGCCTACCCATCTCACCGCAAGGCTACAGGAACCTCACTGCCCATCATTTCCCACCCGTCCCAGCTCCTGGCTGCCGGGCACTACCTCAAACAGCTCTGCTGCCTTAACAGTCAGTTTTCTCACCAACAGCTTTCATGTCTCTAGCTCACTACCTCTAGCATGCAAATCGCAACTCTTGAACCCTACACTGACTAACAATTCACTGGCCCAGCTGATATTACTGTTGATTCCCTTGGACCTCGCTTTCCCTTGGACCTCGTTTCCATACTTAGACAACAGACTCCATGGTCCACCATTATACCCACTCACATGACTCCAAGCACCACATTTGTCCCTTCCTCAATTATTTTGCATTCACCCACGAAAAACCTCAGCAGCAGTTAAATTATCTCAGCCTATTTCAGCGCTGCATCTTCAGGGCTGAACAGAGAAAAACAGACAATCCTGCTGAATGGCCTTGCATGCCACTAAGCAACATGGGCCCTCGATGTTACTGGTACTCGTGTTTCCTTTTCTAGGCCCGTTAGCTTGTCCAATCATCATAGAAGCTGTAAAGAGGAATATTCCACGTACTTTTACAGCTATTAACCTAATTCTCACAACTACCCTGACGTATAAAACGGTACAATAACTTCCCCCAAATCACAGTTATTAAGTGGTCAAGGCAGGATTCAAATAAAGGCAAATGGCTCCAAAATCTGACACTTGACTTTGCTATATTTCCTACCTCCCGTCCTCGCCTCACATCTCCAAACCTCCACCTCTTCTTTTGACCTTTAGTTGGTTACTTTTTTCCAGCTTTGTAAAGAACTTCCACAAACTCCAACTGCCTTTGTGCCTGCACATTCTGCCTTTCCTCTGAACTGTGTCCAGCTACTCCCCTATTTAAGCCACTTTTTCCAGTCAGGCCCTTGGCCCCATCCCCTCTGCCAGGGATAATGCTCCAGGAATTGACCCCGCTGGCCTACGTCATCACTTTTCCCTCTGCAGGATTACCCCTAGTGGCACAGTCTGTGGGTTCCAAATTAAACCTCAAATAAAATGAATCTTAAAAACAAGTATGCTAAGCAGCCAGTCTCCTACAAAACCTACCTTCTGTTCTATTTGAATAAAATCCCAGGAAATGCAGGTGAAACTACCAATCTATGACGAAAGCATATCAATAATTGCCTGAAGTGAAGGGAAGGATTGCCAAGAGGCAGGAGGAAACTTTCGACTAGTGTCAGACCTGTTGCATGGGTATATACCTCAAAACATCAAATGGGACACTTTCAATGTTTTATAGCATTCCAATTACACCTCATTAAACCCAACTCCATCCCTCTACGTTACCCAGTTTTTCTGCTCCCATTTACAGAACCCCCTCCCTGAAGTCTATTTACAATCTTTCCAGTTTTTCCCCATTCTTTGATTCTTTTTATCTCACTACACTCCATTCCCCTGTGCCAGGCTTGCTATACTGGCCAGCATGCATCTGCACGCAGCTCAAGATGAAAAGGCTTGGCTCCTTTAAGTACCTTCTGAGGTCTTCCCAACCTATCCTTTTAAAAACTACAACCCACCTACCATCCTTAACATTTCCCAACTCGCCACGCTTCCCCACCACTTGATTCACATAATTCAGCATCATCTGACCTATTACATATTTTGGTTACTAAACATCTCCTTAGTAGTTATTAGAGTATCAGTTCCAAGAAAGCAGGTCTTACTCTCTATTGTGCTCAATGCTAGAACCTCATTTCTCTGGATTCAAATGTGTGTGTCTCAGTAATACCAGGATGAAGTATTTTCTGCTATTTGGTTGTAAGTAGGAGAAACTCCCATTCACTTACACAGGAACAATTTATTAGAGGATTCCAAAGAATACTACGGACCCCTGAAGGGCAGAGAGAAGTCCATGCAGGATTAGGGAAATAGTCAACAAGAAGTAAAATGCTTTCAGTCTCCTTTAGTCTGATTTGCTGAGGCAGAATGATCTTTGTGTTTTCTCTGCATGTAGCTTTCATTCTTCTCTACTTTCCCTGATAAGGAATTCCATTATAAATCGCAATTACAAATCCCTGCTTAGAGAAAACCTGAGTCAGATGTCTCACCCTCGGCCTGGTTTAGTTAACTATGGCCAAGGGAACAGGCATACAGACATCTACTTACCAGCAATGTCTTCTAAGGTTCAAGAAGCTACTGGGTTCATACATAAGACTATTTATAGCTCACTCCAAAAGTTAAGCATTTTAAACCTTTCCTGAAGTTTTTAAGTATAACTTAGAAAAGAACTACATTTTAATAAACACTTCCAAGGGAGCCTTTAATTAATGTCTGCTGGTATTCAATGTAAATGTTGAACAAACTAAATTGCTTCCAAAGGTCTCATGTACAATTCAAATTCCTTTAAAAAATTTAATAGCATTTACATTTACAAAATCTGATTCTTTTAAACAGCACTTCGAATGCCTGACCCAACACAAAACTTTCCCAGGTGCTTAACTCTTATCAACATAATACATCAAAAGTATAATGACTTCGAAGTTCTCCAAAATATTTTCTGCACATTTAATAACATTATAAAATACTTTCCAACTGAAAATCACAAGTCTAAAACTCTACTAGGAATTAGAATCTTAAGGCCAATGTTACATAATTGATATTGTACTATATCAAATATGTTAAGGTCCTTCAAATAACAAATACTAGTCTCAAGGAGTATAAAAATTACTCCTGAACACAAAGATACTAACTATAGGAACTGTCTCCTAATCTTTCAAAAAAGTTATAATCACTACCTATTTAAGAACTGCAGATCCTGATGAGATTTCATTAAAAGAAATGAGCACTTCAGGTCCCAGGAGACTGGACCAATGCTGGAACCAGGAACCCCAGTTTGGGGCTTCCAGGGCAAATTTAACTGCTTTAATTACTTCAATGTTAAGTAAGAATTACTCCAACCTTAGGAGGCTGTGGTGAAAATCACATGAAATACAGTGGACCCTTGACTTAGGAACTCACTGCGTTCCCCGGGGCTGGTTGGAACTCAGGTTGTCAATTGAAGGCTCAGGCTCCTCTACAGCCTTCAGAGTCTCTCTCCTGTGTACAGGCGGATCTCAGTGTCCTTACAGAGACACTGGCCCAGGGTTTCTCAACTAAGCCCATACAGGAAAGGGTGCTGTAATGTTCCTTCCAGAGCGCCTTAAGGGTTAAATCTGTATCTGAGACCATCCAGAAGCACAAGTGGCCAGCATTTGGGTCGTAATTCAAGATTTGGTCATAAGTTACAAATAAAATTCCTGTCATAACCCAAGCTATTCATAGCGCAGGCCAGTCGTAACTCAAGGGTCTGCTGTAATGGAGGAGAAACTCTGACATTACCCAACTCATAGTAGCTACAATTTTAGCTAAAATTTCAACTTCTCATTTTTTACTAGTATACAAATTATAAGCATAATTACAAAGTTAATTCTTTTTTTAAAAAGTTCTTAAGTAAAAACATTTAAAATAAATTAACTCTTCTCAACTCCCAAATACAGCATCTGACCTGACCAATCTCACTGAGGGAGGCACTCCTGGCTACTTACAAGCTGCTGTGCAGCATGACTGCTTTTATCAATTCAGAGGGAAACTATCCACACTCATGACCACATGTTCTTATTAGAACACACATCTCACTTCTTTCTGCTGCAAGAAAATCGGAATTTATAGAACTGAAAGTAGGCAAGGAGATTTCCACTATAATATTCTTCCTCTCAGGATTCTTCTGGACACACTGTAGCAGCAATGCCCACACTGCTGAGTGAGATGAGGATGGCGAAGGTGAAAGAGCAACTGTGAATCAGTGCGCGAGGAGTCAGCAGCCACTGACAGGCCATGAGGAAGTGATACATCACAGAAAGCCAAGATAAAAATAAGAACCTTTATAAAACACATGGTTCACATCGAACTTGCAAAAACACAACTTCAAAGCAAGCTGTTCTGGTTTGAGGTTCTGAACAAGATAATTATGAAGAACCAAAGAAAAAAATCTACATACAGATCAAAGAAAACAGTTTTTTGGATGATTAGGTAGCTATGAACTCCAAATACACGTGCATTGGGCTGAAAAGGTACGTAGTAGAGGAGAAATGACAAATCTGTCTCAATCACCGACCTGAAGGATGGGGAAAACTTGGTAAAAAGGCAGCATACGGAAAGCAAGGGAAGACAGTGGTCCAATTGGGTCTATCTGTCGACCGTGCCAATAAGGAGGAGGTCAACATTAAGGAAACGGAAAGGAAAACCTGGAGGGGAAAGCACAATTCACAGGCATCCAATCTGGTTTAACAATTTTTTTTTTTTTTTTTTTTTTTTTCCCCAGTACCAGGAATTGAACTCACGACCTTGCACTTGCCAGGCAGGCACTGTGCCACTGAGCTAAATCCCCAGCCCCCAATCTGCTTTATATCCTAGATATCATCCAGCCTCAGTGACTCGGAGCTGAGCAGCTGATGAGCTACACACTGGGAATACAGTCCCGCACCAGCTGAAGGAGAGCACAGGTCCAAATCAGCAATGCCATCGAGGATGGAGACCAGTGAAGCAGGAGCCTGGGAATCCCAAGTGCACTGACCGAAAAAGTCTTCTTCCTGTTGTCATGTTTTTGCTGTTTTCTATGCTAGAAATAACAAAACAAACAAAACCCCCACACAGGGGTTGCTCTGGCAGGACTCCCAGTTGGAACCCTGTCCAGAGGCTCCCTACCTGAACCCCCACTCGAATGCCTACCCAGCTGCTGACAGAGAACTGTGCTGGACTAAATCAACATTAACTCATCCAAGGTAGGTAGACACTGGAACCAAGATAAATACCACCTTCCAGCTGAGGACGGCACACCATAATTCCACTACACGGAAAGCCGTGTTTTAACACAGGTACTTAGTTTCCAGTCACAGTCATCCCAGTCTCTTCTATAAAATCGCTTCTGTGACAGTCCTTTTAAATGTGTCCAAGAGAGTCTCTTTCCAATAATTAGTAGTCAAATCTATTCTAAACTAGGAGTTCTTTTTGTCTTACTGAGCAGGTACTATGATTCCATCTTCTTCTCTAGAAATTCAGCAGATCTAGGTTCCAACACAGAAGTGCTTTCTTTCCTTGTCATGGTAGCAAAAAGCATGTCCATCATCCCCAAGGTTTCTAGGAGTTCCCTTTGGTAATCAATCTCTTTTTCTACAAGTCCTTGAAGTACTAAAAACTTTTTATCCACTACAGGTGACTGACCAATCACAGGCAGATATATGTCTAAAAAGAGAGAAAATATGACAGCTAGCAATCTATGTAATAAGTGAAAAACAACAGTTAGAAAAAGTACAAAAGTGTTAAATATAAAGAGATTCAAAATCTATACTTATTTAATGATTAATAGAAAACATAACAATTCTCCCAAATAAATGCATTTCAAAAAGAAGAAAAACTAAAAATAGAAGATCTTAGTTTCATTTTTCTATTAAAAACTATTCTTGGTTATACAGATATTAATGGGAAAATTTAAATTTTATGATGCTAATGCTACTGATTAAAGTTAGGCCACTGTAAGCATTTTACTCCACTGTAAACTGCCCTGATTTTACTGCTTTCTTTATGAAAATCTTCATTGCAGAATTGACTGAAAGAAACTTTAATACTTAATTTCCAATTTGATTTTGTTATCTGACACCTCTACTTTTTGATGTAGTGTGAATTGAACCCAGGAGTCCATGGATGCTAGGCAGATGCTCCAACACTGAGCCACACCCCTCATCCTGATGCCTCCACTTCTACAAGCATGTTAGCTTTTTCAAGTTTTAACGATTACTTACCAATAATTATTTCAGCAGCATTGATCAAAACAGGTGCAAATCTTGGCTGAGACAGATTCCTACAAAATAAAAATTTTGTTTAATGAAATTTGCAAACGCATTGTTCTACCAGTTCTCAAAAAGATCAAACTAAAAATGTCTCTCATTGGGTGATAAAGGACTTGAGATGCAAAGTACAGGTTTCACCAACATAAAACATACCTTATCAAAAAATTCAGAACACGACTAATTTCCTTCTCATCCCGACCTGCAAGTGCATTTGCAAGCACTCCTCTTCGATTTAGCTCCTTTATGATGGAAACTGTAACTTCTGGTGTCTTTATTATACAACTAGGCTAGAAAAATTTTCAAAGTCAACAGGAGCAGAAAACAGCATAAAGAAAAGTATCACTCTCTCTCACGAAATTACCAGTTCCAAGTCACGACAATGCATACACCAAATACTAAGCCAATTCTTTAAAAAATGCTTTTCACTCACCTCAAGGACTCTATCAAGTGCTTTAGAGATCCTAAAATTTTTCAGATCCCTGTCATATAACTCCAGATATTTCCTCGTTGGTTTGTTGATCAAAATGTCATCCTGTATTGAGAAGTAAATTTATAGAGGAGGAAAATCAGTATCTACGAAGTTCCATTCAAAACAAATTTTCTCATAATGGAGTGATACTTTAAAAACTCAGGGTGCCTCTATACTACATCACAGATAATGCTCATATGCCCATACTCTAGATCAATTCAAAATGGAATAATATGCCACATTAATGTTCTTTTACTCTTTCACAATTTTTAATTTACACAGTTGCCTCAAAACTGAGCAAAACTCACTTATTTAAACTTTTTACACATCATGCAGTGTGATTTCACATAAAAAGAAATAAAACAAGAATGAGAAACAGAGACTTAGACTTAATATCTGAGGCTATCCCGAATGAAATCCTAAATAATTCAAAATTTCTTTGTATCTCAATCTTCTCAAATGCCAAGAACAGACTTTACTGGCTGGGTTGTTTAGAAGATTAAATCAGATACTGTGTGAAAGACTGTTGTGAATGTGGTAAAGCACTGTATTTTCATGTTATAATTCAGGGTAATAAATAAAGTGGCCCTTGTTCCCCACTATTCTTCCATAATGGCCTCACGCTAGCAATCTGGAGCCAATTTTGAAGCACCAAAAAGAGAAATAAAGTTAAATATCATGTGTACTGTACTACTCAGTAATGTGCAAAGATGAATGGCTACTCTAAGAAATGTCACCTTTTAAACAAATACGAGCAACACTCACCCGTTGCTTCATGTAATTTTTCCCTTTAATAAAGGTTCGGTATGCAGGCCTCCTTCTCCTTGGAAGAGAATCCTTCTTTGTTTCAGATTTCCGATGTTTAACACTTAGAATTCCATTGGTCATTCCAACCACTATCGTCTCATCTTCATGCTAGCAATTAGAAAAATAAGTCTATTCCTAACCACGGCTTACTTACTTCAACATGACATTTTTGTTGTACCCATGCAATCACTCATATATACTTTGCTTAACAATGATCTATACAAAATGCTACAGTGAAGTCTTTTTTTCCCTCTAGGATACCATTATGTTGGCAGAAGTTATTATACTTGTAAAAGTACCCCTGGCAAAATCTGTGTAGTGATACACAGTTAACGGCATCTTGAGAATGTTTCAGAATATTTTTTCTCCATTCTCTTATTTAAAAAGGACTATACAATGACATGATCTTCTATAATCTTGTCCCCCCCAAAAACATTTTTTGATTAATTTTTTTCCTCTCCCAATTCAGATTTCTATAACATATTTAAATATCCACCTGCACAAATGTAGCTCCCTGTGAAACATGATAGTACAGCTTCTAGAAAGAACAGTCCATGAGGGAGCGACTTCATTTTGTTACTCCTTCCTCAGTCCATCTGTGTGCGTGCGCACAGGCGTGTTCAGAGAGCCAACCTGCCTTTCCTAAGTAACGTAACACCCTTGAGTTAAATTTGTTGGTTACTACAAGTCCCACTCCAGCAACCGTCTTAACTCAGACAGCTAATTTAAATCCAAAGATAAACCCTAAACTTCCATTTTACGTTCACTTAACAGACAAGGTTGGTGGCAACTTTAGAAAGGACTACAAGTACTTAGCAGGTACTGACACTAAGGAAATGCTGATGCTTTTGGATCTGGCAGCCTCTCCAACCTGCAGGTCACATAGCCTACTGCCAGGATGAATTCCAAAATGTCTCGTGGTGCTGTTTGAATCTTTCTGCTGTGCTGCAATGTTGTCAATAAATTAGGGACAATAAAAAAAATAAAATAAAAGTACTTACTGAAAGCGCAAGACTCAAAATTGAAGCTGCATAATCAAAACTGTGGACTACTTTGTAGGAAGTTGTGCTATATACTTTCACCTTCCTAATAAAAAGAAAATTCTGTCAAAAATCATTTGCAGATTCTATTTTTAACATGAAAGGAAAGAAAAACAATAATGTAATATTATGAAGTACCTTATCACTAAACCCCTTGGAAACTGTATTACAGAACCAGATTTGAATAAAGACTTTGACGAGCCACTTATACCAAAACCAAAGGATAGACCAGGAACCACTGCCATGTGAAGATAAAACTTGGAAGGAAGAAAAGCGTCAATGAATGTACACTGCGAGTCAAGAGAACAAGGTCTCAAGCTCAGCGCTGCAGGTCCTTTGCTATGTTGTGCAGGGCTTTTCTGTGCACTGCAGGACATTTTAGCAGCTTCCCTGGCCTCTACCCCAGCACAGCAGTAGTGTCAACCCCAAAGCTGTCAAAGCCAAAAATGTCTGCAAGTATTGTGAAGCTTCCCTGGGGACAAAAATAACTCCAGGTTAAGAGTGACTATAAAGAGAGCCAGTTTATACTTCATGTGTTAAGGAGACATCTAAAAAGTCCAAGTGCCAAATTGCACAGAAACACTATTTCAGAAAATTGTATATATTTACATAATACATTCCTTTGGACTAAATGTTTTCTAACTTTTAAAATATTTACACTTTTTTTTTTTTCTGGTACTGGGAATCGAACGCACGACCTTGTGCTTGCCAGGCAGGCACTGTGCTGCTAAGCTAAATCCCTAGCCCCTATACTTTTTAACATACCTGATAAAAACTAAGACCCTTACTAACAGCGGACAAAAAACAAAAAGAAAATATGGAAATAAAATGATTAACAACTGATGAATACAAGTAAGTAGATTCTACAACCACGCCATAGTGCTAGACACATGTGGCTTTTGAACCCTTGAAAGATGGCTAATGAAAATGACCAACTATGCTGCTATTTGCTAGTTTTGCTGCTGCTGCTGGTGCTGCTACTTTGCTGACTGCTGCCTGCCCTTCCGTACCATGGACTTTTCTCCTCTGCAGTGCCCCTCTGCCATGCCAGTCCTATTTTGGAGCCAGATGACTAGAGACTGAAACCTCTACAAACTGTGAGCTGAATAAACCCTTCCTCCCTTTAAAAACAAAAAAAGGAAAAAGGAAAAGAGGAAAATGAACAACTAAATTATTTTAATTAATTTAAAAACTGAAGTAGTAATCATAAAATACTGTATCATAGTTTATGTTTCAGATGCTTAATTCACTTCTAGTATCTCAATAATTTTACAATGGTTATATACTGAAATATTCTATATTACATATTTTATTGTTGTATTACATATTGCACAGAGTAAAATATATTACTAAAAGTAATTTTATCTAGTTGGTCTTTTTTTTAAACCTTTTTTAATGTGGCCACTAAAACACTTAAAATTACTTATATAGCCCACACTATATTTCTGTGGGAAGCACTGCTTTAGAATATAACAAGTGGAGGGCTGGGGATTTAGTTCAGTGGCACAGCGCCTGCCTGGCAAGTGCGAGGTCATGAGTTCGATTTCCGATACCAGAAAAAAGAAAACCAAAAAAAAGAACATAACAAGTGGAATACTAAGTATTTAAAATAGTAACATCTCGACTCTATTAACATATGGAAATGTTCACATGAAAGTTTTAAATTTCAGAGACTCTAAACTAGAATATATTATACATAAGTATGTATTTTTTCTTGAGTATACGCAAAATAAAAATTTCAAAACAACAGAATATTTAATCACCAAATATTGCTAAAGAAACTTATTTTCTCAAACAGTAAACACCTAAACACCGACAATGAACAAAGAAAATTAAAATGCTAACCTATCCAGCGAGCCAGAAAGTAACCTTTGTCCAGAGCTGCTCAGACATAAACATGTCACAGTTTTGTGATGATTTTTCAAAGATACAAGCAACTGTCCTCCTTTTAACATGTCCCAGACTTTAACATAACGACCTCCTATAAAAAGAAATAACATTAGTTTGATATTCCACCCATATATTCAGAATTTTAAAGACCTAAAAAGTATTCTTTACTGACATGCCACAGATCAAAGGTAAAGTGAGGGATTTCAGAGCCCGACTGGTTTGAATCTTGGCTCTACCACTTACTGTGTGACTGATAGTATAGCAACAGTGCCTACTTTACAGAACTATTCAGATGATTAAATAATTTATTTTAAGTGCAAATAACTGCCTAGCAAAAATAAAAAGTGTAATGAAAAAACATTTCAAGGAAATTCTAATAAAATCATTGCTTAAAAGAAATTCTGAATAAACATGGAAATGAATACTGTAGATCTTGTTTCCTAAATATTTTGTGAATCCCAACAAAACTGGTGAACTTTCCTATACTTTTACTCTAAGAATTAAAAACGTCCTTCCTTAACAATATTTTAATCCAATGATTTTAAAAGAATTTTTAAGTTCAGCATCTTCTTTCAACAAAATATCAAGCAGTCCAGTAGAGAACGAAGGACAACGGGGCAGGGTGGATGAAGAGTGAGGCTGCTGGGCCCTGGACTCTGACCAGGAAACAGAGGGAAGGAGTCATGACCACCGTCTTCCCCCACCCCTGTGGCGGCCTTGGCCAGCAAGTACCGTCTGCCATCACGGATAAGCTCCAACCTTTCTCATTTTCAAGGTCTAGAAACACTGACCAAGGTCACACAACTAAATAGTGGCACAGTAGAGATTAACATACAGGTTTCTGCTCTCTTTGTTCAACATGGCTTTATTTCCATTTCTCAAAATAACAGCATGCAAAACAGATGCACCTAACAATATCAACTCAAACAGGTGTTGGGCAAAGAGTATAAAACAGGACAAGCCTATAGACTATACATACCATCATGTATATGTTAGCAAGCATATGCAATACCTACACATTCTTCTCATGCCAACACATTTTTACTTTACTAACAAATGAGAAAAACCAAGTAATTTGTGCATGATTACGAAAATGTATTGTGCTAAAATTAACTAAAAAACTCTTGTTCCAACTGGATAAAAAATTTATCAAGCTCTTTTCTGAGCCCCCCCCCCATTATCTCCTCCTCTAATACTACCAGCTATTTACTGGGGAAGAACATATACTCAAGAGTCACAAAGAAAGAGGTAAGTCTAGATCTAAAAGAACCTGTTGCAAAGGCAGCTAGAGATTTCTTAGGAGAGTGGTGGCGAACCTACAGCATGTGCACAGCAGCAGCCTGTTTGTATCACTGAAAGCTCAAGGGTTTGCCATCACTGTCTTAGGAATAAGAGTACACAGTATAGCGGTCAAATTGCACAGGGTTAAGCACATAATGTAAGATCTCAAGTTCTGAGATTTCAGACTTGCCACTTAACAATTTGTTCTGAACTAATTGGAAATGTTGATTTATTCTCTTAGTTGTAAAATGAGGAGAAAATTAACTGTCTGGGGCATTAGAGGTAATATGTATACAATGGCAGGGTGCTGTACTGGGCATGGTGGTACAGCCCTGTAATCCCAGCATGCAGGTGGCTGATGAAAGGAGTTCACAAACTCAAAGCCAACATGGGCTACTCAGCAAGTCACAGGCTGGCTTGAAGTACAGAGAGGTCTTGTTTCAAAAGCCTCCCCAACTTCAAACACAAGCTCCTGGCTCAGTCAGGTACTCAATATACTCAATAAATGACAACTATTTGCTTGTCCCACTATCAACTGTTTGCACAACAACTTAGATATGTAATTCAAACGCATACTGATGAATCATAAATAGTAACTGGCAACAAAAAATTTGATTCAGGATCAACAATATTGGTAACAGTTACTTACCTGAAGACACCAGAAGACCTCCAGAGGGAAAAAGCAGGACACTCTCCACTGGCTGCCCATGCTCAACAGAGAGAACACTCTTAGTTGTTCGCGCATCAAACATCTTCACAGTATGATCATAAGACCCTGAAAAGTCAATTTTTGTATTACAGTACATGAATCTGGCTGTTTAAAACAACAAAAACCCTAAGTGTGTATATATCCAAACACAAATTTTTAAAAAAGAAAAATTTTAGATGGAATTTAACAGTGCTTCCAATTTCTTTGCTACAAAGAATTTTCATTTGTTTGTTTGTTTGTTTGTTGCTATCCTGGGGATCATACTCGGCCTGGCACATATAGTAGGCAAGGGTTCTACTACTAAGTTACAGCCCCAGCCCTACTATTACTGAAGAAGCACTAGCCAATACTATACAGAATCTAACTTGTTTTTCATCTAAAATTATTCCTATCTGAAAACTACAGTCACTGTAGGGTCATGTGTGAACCTTTGTACAGGCGCCCGGAAAAACTTACAGGCACTGCAGCGCCCAAGCTGCTAGAGCCTTACTGAAAGCCAGGGTACTAAACCCACTGTGTCTGGACAGTCTGCTATGTTTTCAAGACAGCCTGTTATCTCCAAACACATTCACAGAACAGTTAAAACCACCAAAAGAAAACGAAAACAAAGAACAATGGCATCACAAATACAAACCTATCCTTATTTGTGTATGTGAGCTATGACCCCAGTGCTATTAAAAATAAACAAACAAAAAAACAAACAAACCTCTTGATCCCAAAAGAATCCCATAGCAATTAAGTGGAAAGAATTCACCAACCTGTTACAAAGAGATCTGGGTTCAGTTTGCTAGCACATCCACACCTTACATAATCAGAATGTTCTCTGAATGTCAGAATTTCTTTGGAGTTTGGTATATCCCATAATTTAACAGTATAATCATCAGCCCCAGAGATTACATGGTATTTATCAGCTGTAAAATCTACTGTATGAACTGCTCTGAAAAATCAAGTGGCAATATATTAAAAAGCAAGAAAAAAATTAATTTCTTGTATCTTCTAACATAACATGCTTTTTACCTAAATTTTAAAAATTGCTCAGTTTCAGAAAATATTTACAAAAATAAAAGAAAACCTTTAAAGTAGGTACTTGCTCCTAAGGCAATTTGAAAATGTAATGCCACTGTACTATTAAGTTAGTACAAACACTAAGCATAGTCTTAAATTGTATTTTCCACTATGTTAATAACTCTTAGGCTCTTAAGGAAAATGAATGTTCTAAATATAGGAGCAAAGGTATTTTTTTTTTTAAATTTTAAAAAAGTCTTTTAGAAACTCTAAAAAGACTTGTCACCAAGTAAGAACATGTTAGGTAAATTTTTATTATGTTTTCAGTATTTCACTGATTCAGAACATTTTGATAGTATAGAATAGAAAATGTACTTCTGAGATTTTTAAATCAATATATTTCAATAAGGACACTGGTAATCCTGAATAAGTTACAGCATAAAATTATGACAGTCATTCAATTTATCAAAGGGCAAAATACTCCAAGTCCAAGAAGAAAACTTCAATAGGAGAGCCTCAACATAGCCCTGGCCCGAGTACACACACCAGTAGCTGGGAGGCTGCCTCTGCACCAGTGACTGGCAAACTCATCTGGCTCACAGACCCTCCGGGAAGTTAACGAATGCCACAAACACCTCCCCATCTAAGCACGTATTTCCTAAAATACTACACACATTCTAGAGAACTCATGAGCCCCAGGAACTGAACCATCAAACTCAAGTTAAATTATGTTGTCTTGGAACAACCAGGAAATAAAATATAAACTGGTATGTAATTTTCACAGAACTACCATGATTTTACTGAAACACCAGAGACAGACCTTTCAACAAAACAGAATCACATAAAAAAGCAACTCTTACTTTGTGTGACCTTCAAACTGCCTGAGGGGAGCCCTCCCACTTATATCAAAGAGCTGAACTGCACCGTCTTCACTACCAGCCACAAGCAATCTACCATCTTGTCGGAAAGTAGCACAGTACGCTGTGTCTTTAAATCGGGAAAAAGTTTTGATAGGTTCTTGGGAGTATCTGCCATAAATGTGAATCTGTAAGATAAGAAATAGCGTTTCATCAAATTGCTCAAGATCAGTAGTAAATTATATACATTAAAATTTCAAAAAATTATCATCGTACTTACTCTTGAAGAAGCGGTGACAGCATAGTTATATGGAGGCTGAGGGGAAAAATCTACTTTTGACACTGCGCCAAATTCTTTAATCTGAACAGGGGTCTTAAATGAAAAAGAATGCAGAGTATTAACAAAGATACAACCAGGAAGGCCTGTTTAAACATTATATAATTTCTCATAGCTCATTTCTTTTTGTTCATAGTAACATTTATTAAGTTTACATTCCACAGACATACAAAAGCAGCAAAAAAGGTCCCTGTCCCATCACCCACCCTATTCCTGTTGCCATTAAAGTTAATATACATGTGGCTAGAAAAACCATACATTATGCCTTCCTCAGCTGTGAGTTTACTGCAGTACCCGCAACAGTTATGCCTATACCAGGACACATTTAACTATGTTTTAAAATGAACATGAGGGGTGGGATTTAGCTCAGTAGCACAGCACCTGCCTGGCAAGCGCAAGGTCGCGAGTTCGATTCCAGGTACCGGAAAAAAAAAAAACCCCAAAAAATGAACATGAGCAGGATCACACCACGCAGGCAGCTCTATCTTTTCATTTTTTCACTAAGTGACCCATCTTAGCTGACTTTTCATATTAGCAATAGATTTAACACCCCTGAGAAGGGCAACACCAGTTACTAGACTAGCCCACTCGTAATAAATGGACACAAGTTTTTTGAGAACTCTTGTACGACATGTAATACTTCAATAAAATCTTTACACAATATTTTGGCAAACGTCTGGGAGTATATTCACTGAGTGTGTTTCAAGCTGCGAGATTACAAAGCCAAAAAGCATTTTTAAAGTCATAATAAATCTCAAAGTATCCTCTAAAAAATATGCACCAACCTCCCTCCCCCAACTGGCAATAACAACCAAAACTTTTCATTTGTGCCAGTGGATGAAAACAGTTCCTGACTTATTGTCTTAATTTGCATTTCTAAATTGGAGTAATACTAAGCTGTTTCAATATATTTACTGAATATTTATACTTCTTATTCCATACACATCCTAACCTCACGCTTTTTGTAGTTTTCCATTTAGCCTTTTTATTTTTGTTTTTGTGGTACTAGAGATAGAACTCAGGGAGTTCACACCTTGTCAATGACATCCCTGGCCCTTTTTTTTTTTTTTTGGCTTTTTCTCCGGTACTGGGAACCGAACTCACGACCTTGCACTTGCCAGGCAGGCGCTTTTGCTGCTGAGCTAAATCCCCAGTCCCCCTGGCCCTTTTTAAAAAATTTTTTGAGACAGGGTTTTTCTAAGTCACTAAGTTGCCCAATCTGAGCTTGAACTTATAACCCTCTTGCCTTAGCCTCCCAGAGTACTGAAATTATAGGTGCTTACCACCATACCTGGCTTAGTCTTTCAGTTTTTAAAAAAGTCATCTGTAAGCCTTATTACAATGAGAACGTACAAACAAAACAAATTTCATAGCGCTTTTTCTTTAAGAAAAACAAGAAGGGGGCTGGGCATATAGCTCAGTGGCATAAGTACCTGCCTGGCAGGCACAAGGTCCTGAGTTCCATTCCTAGTACCAAAAAAAAAGAAAAAGAAATCTTCTTGCACATGAGATTAAAATTCTAAAATCTAAATCATTTGGCACTGATTAGTTGTGCGTTCTATGCTAAGTACTTGTGTGGCTAAAATGATTAAGCAGTGCAGACTTTTATATAAAATTCCAAGGAAGTTGGGCATGGTGGTGCACACCTGTAATTTCAGCACTCAGGAGGATCGCCATGAGTTTGAAGGCAGCCTGGGCTTCATGGTGAGACCGTGTGTCAAAAAAATCCCCCAAAACCTAAAATTTCAAGAAAACAAAGCTGTCTGCCTAAACTATTAGCTGCTCAGTTTTTACTTAATATTTCTTTGTTTTTTTGAGACAGTCTCGCAATGCAGTTCAAGCTGATGGCAATCCTTCCATCTCAGCCTCCCAAGTGCTGGGATTACAGGCATGCACCACCACGCTTTGGTTTATATTTCTGTTAAGCACATTCCAAGTATAACAAACGCTAGACAAACTGGCATAAATAAATAAATGCATATATTCCCTCCTTCATCCTTGCTTCCCATGCTTACCTTATAGTTGTTCCAGTACAGAGTATCTTGGGTGATTTTTTCACCAAGTACAGGATATGTCTGAATAGCTGCAGGCTTATAACCAGCCATGATTTCATACAGTTGCACTAATGCCCAAGAGTCAATAATTTGGAGTTGATATTAAAAATAAATCTGAAAAAGAATATATTTTTAAAGATAAATCATTTATAAACTTGTACACATAGGTATGATTTTTTTTTTTTTAACTCTGCTTTCTTTTTGAAGACTGTGTGGAAATTTGTAGACTAGTGACCAATAACTCTTTTAAAGAGACCATCTAAACAAAACAGGAAGGGCTATCATGATGTGTATAGTCTGGCCAGGTTGGACACTTCAGAATAAATCCAACTCACACTTCCAGCAATCAAACCAGAGAAAAACACACTGGCTTACAATGCTAATTTTTTGACAATAGCAAATATTAAGATAAAACTACAAACACACTAGGTATTTGTCTATTATTCCAGTTCTTGGGAGGTGGAGAGGAGGATCACCATGAATTCAAGGAATGTCTAGACTATACAGCGAGATCCTGTCTCAAAGACAAACAAACTTAACAGGTATAAAAATATAGTGTACATTCTTGACTTCCTAAAAATGCCAAGAAGAAAGAAAAAGAAAGTAATTCTATTATACAGCTTAAAATTTAAAAGCTTAAAGTGAAACTGGAAAGTAATGTTCTGACACAGAAGCTTAATTTTGAAAGGTTTAAACAACAGCAAAGAAAGTCAGAATAAAGCAATTCCACATTAAAGTGACAAAATAGAATAAAAATTAATTAGACTAACTACAAAAACCAAAGATAAAACTTTTAACTTTAATATGTCATTAAGGCAAAACATCTTTCCAGAATTATTCAACTGCAGCTGAGATCCAATTTTACCAGGTGAATGACTTCAGTGGTGTTGCTGTTTACCTATTGAGAAAGCCTAAAAATACGTCATCAGTAACACTAAAACAAGTAAGTGTGACTTTTTTTTCTTTTTTGGGGGGACAGGGTATCTCACTATGAAGTCCAGGCTGGCCTTAAACTTGTGATCCTCCTGCTTCAGCCTCCGGAGTACTGAGATTACAGGCAATGATCCACCATGCCCAGCAGGTGTGATACATCTCAAAGGCTATTTTGACAAAAACACAACAATCGATGACTAAAAACGGGGGACCCCTTCCATTTGTTCAAGCACCTACAATGTGTAGAACACAGTTCTACCCACTAAGGATGCAATGATAAGAAGCCCTCACATATCCCATCTTCTCCATTTTGGCTAGTGCCGGCTCGGGCTAGGAATCTAGACTCAGCCTGGACTTGTCCTTCCTGCTTTCCTAACAGCAGGATAGCCCATGAGATCTGCCAACCCTACCTCCCAAATCTTTGTTCACGTCACCAAATCAGGCTCACCCCTGGCTCCACCGCCCCAATTCAGGTCTCCCATCTACTGACACTGTAACATCTCCTTGATTCTCTCACCCGCCTCCCAAACGGTCACCATGAGCCTTTGCTCCAAACCCTACATAGCCAGGAAATCGAGTTCCAGCTCCACACATGGGTCAGGTAAGATCGGCTCGGATCTGCTTAGCCTTCCAGCTCCACCTCGTTTGTTTGTTTGTTTTGTTTTTTTTAAAACAAGGTCTCCCTATGTAGTTCGGGTTGGCCTTGAACTCGCTATGTAACGCAGGCTGGCCTCCAACTCACTGCAATGCTCCTGCCTCTGCCTCCCAAGTGCAGAGATTACAGACATGCGCCACCACATCCAGCCTCTGCCTCTTGTTCTTACCAAGTTTACTGTTGACACACCATCCTCACTCTTACCTCAATGCCTCTACCCTCTGTATTCTTCACCACGACTGCCCTCTCTCTATCTGCTTTCTGCTTAACGTTTAAGGGCTCCTTTCAGGAATGAGACTGTCCTACAAGAGCCCTCAGAGGTTCTATCCTGTCTCCTACGATCCTATTTACTCCGAATACTTCTGTCAACGCATATAATCACCCTGCATGGTGATCATTTCTTTTGCCTGTTAAACCGAACAATTCATAGCTAGGAGATTTTTTACAAAGTGCTCAAATCAAATGCCGCCTGTGCAAAGAAGGAAAAGGAGGCGTGACACAGTACTAAAAGCAGGGGGAAAGAAATGAGGTTAAAAAACGAAGAGGAGGAAAACCATCTGACTGTGGCCAGTGCCTAAGACACTGGTTTTAAGCGATTTAACTGGCACTACGGCTTTACTAAAGCCACGAGGAATGTACAGAAGACCAAGAGCTCAGAAAAGGAAGACTTTTAATTCTACCTGGGACGAGCGTGCCATTTCTGAGCCCTGGAGTACTCGTTTGTGAGCGGCGCCAAGGCGGGGGTTGGAAAGGAGAAAATAGAGGGCCATTGGAAACTGAGAAGCTAGGAAGGCACTGATGGAATTCGGCGGATTACTCCGGGCGCTGAAGACGGTAGACAAGAGAGTGCGGCACTACAGAGCGAGACCTGGATGGACGACACACTGCAGGGACCCTGCGCGGCGCACGGCCGAGCGCAGGCATCTACAGCGGGGCCGCAGCACGCCACCAACCACGGCGGCTGGAGAAAGGCGGGCTGCCTCCCGCGGTAGCTGCCTCACGTACCTCCGCGTGGCCCCGGGTCCGCCGACGCACACTGGCTCCAAGAACAACTTCTTGCACTTCGGCTACCCCCACACCATGCCGGTGTGAACCACCTAAGCAAGATCACGCGGAACCGCCAGCGGCCCGGAACACACGGCCGCGAGAATGGCGCGCCGAGATGACGTTTCGCACAGGCCGGCGATTAAGTAACACGCAAGCCCTCAAGGCTCACGCAACCCGGAAGACGCCATGAAGGGCGGGTTGGGGGTGCGGCCGGGAGGAGGGGTAACCGCCGGAAAAGGCTGGGGTGTTGCTCTAGTGACCCAGAGCTGTCACCTGAGATGACCCGGTCTCTGTAGCGTTCAAGCAGGTGCACCGCGGAGCGTAAAGGCAGCTAAAAAACAAAAACAACAACAAAAAGCCCCCAGAAATCCTGGAAATCCTCTGGGCTGCTGCGATCTGGAACCTTTTTTTGCCAGCAGGCGAAAGAAGAAATCGGAAGTGACGTTGCAGCCAAAACAAGCCCGGGCTTGAGGTCTGTGCGGAGTCTGGGCCCGTGACCGCCCGGGGAAAGGCCGGCCGCTCCAGGGCCTGAAGGCGGCAGCGAGGCGCCTCCCGCCGCGCCCCCTGAGCCCGCCGGTGGCGACGCCGGGACACCTGTCGCGTGTGGGGCCTCATTCATTTCCGCAGCGCCTTGCTCTCCCTGTAGGACAAGCTCAGGGTCAGGAAGAACCAGGGCGCTCCTGTTGGTGGCTCCCACCGGCGCCTGGCCGGGTCGCTCCCTTACTGGGGACACCCTCCGTGACTGAGCTCTGGCTGACAGATCGAGGTGAGCCTGGCTACCCCTGGCCTGCCCGAGTCTTTTTCTCACCGCCTCCTCTTCTTCCCCTTCATCTCCTAGTCTTCAAGAATTTGCTTCCAAATCAACTTTGCTTCTCCTCTCCAGGGTTGTGCGGAGATACACCTTCCTCCCCCAAGCACCTGAGCTGTTGTCTCAAAGACTGGTGATTTCATCTAAAAAGCCCGATTTATAACAGAGCTGTTCAGGGTTTTAGGGCTGCCTATTTCAGCACCTTCATTTTGTAATTGAATCTCATGAAACGTATTTATGTGTCCAGGGTTCCACAGCTAATTAGTAGGTGTTGAAAGTGGAAAACTAGATTAATCAGCAAATGTTAGAAAAGAATGTATAAAAATGTCAAAGCCCTACGGGGCACCTGGTAGGACCAAGGGCAGTTGTGTGTGCAATGATTAATAACAGTAGTGTATCCTAGGGTCTTGACTTAGCGTTTAATTTTTCAAGAGATTGGAGAATGTTAAAATAGAGCCAGGTAGAGAATGCTGAGAGAGCCCAGGGGAGTGGCCCTTACCCCCCCGGTGGGTATGAGAATGGAGGAAACTAAACCCCACTTATGTAAACATAACATGTTTTTAAAAATGAACTTCACGTGGGAGGTTGAAGTTTTAACATGAAAATTTATTTTCATTGGTAGCCAGATCTTTTGGTAATGGTGTGGTGACCAAAATTCATTAGAATGTAGTAATAGAGATTATAAAGGTTCTATATTTCACTTATTCTTTTCCAGGACCCTGAGAAGTTTATAGTGGTAACCCAGTTTTACAAATAAGACTGAGGCTTGGAGAGGTTCAGTAACTTGTACTAATAGATGGAGATGGTGAAGCTTGTATTCATAGGCAGGTTTCTCTACCTCTGGACACTGTTTGCTTTCTGTTATATATAGGTTCTTTAAGAGCACTGTTCGGATGCTTGATTGAAAATGACTTTTTTTAAAATTTTATCTGAGTTGGTATACTTTTAATTATCTAATATTTTTCTTTCAGATTTTTAATATCCAAATTCTGAGAGTATACTGGATATTGCTCTTATAATTCCAAGAGGAAATCATGAAGAAATGTTTTAATTACTGAAAATTATAGTTGAAATCATGGCTACATCATCGAACCTGGATACAGCCCAGCTGATAGTGGAAGAATGTCCCAGCAGTTATGGTCTCTCTGGCATGCCAGACATTAAAATAGAACATCCACTGGACCCAAATTCAGAGGAAGGATCAGCTCAGGGTGTTGCCATGGGGATGAAATTCATACTGCCCAACCGCTTTGATATGAATGTGTGTTCTCGATTTGTGAAGTCCTTAAATGAAGAGGATAGTAAAAATATTCAAGATCAAGTTAATTCTGACCTGGAGGTGGCGTCTGTCCTATTTAAAGGTTGAAAGTTATGGTATAAATATCTGCCTTTGCTTTTGTTTCTTTGAATGGGGTTCTTTTGTCGTTGCTTTGGTTCACTTTTGGGTTTGGTTTTGTTTCTGTTCTTTTTTGTCTTTTTTTTTTTTTCTTTTTCCATCAGGAGATTTGGAGTTTAGAAACCAGAATTAAGTAATTTCATATTATATAACATCTATTTAAAAGGAAATACATGACTTTAAAAAATTTCCTGCCTATTCTTTATTTACAAATTTTCTAATGAATACAATTTTCATTGTATCTTTTAAAAATCATAGGAGAAAAAAATTCCTTGTTCTTTTTTAAAATGAATTAGCCTTTTTTGTGAAATGAATTAACTTGATATTCCCTGTTCATGAATGTTTCATGTGTGTTGGTTTCAAATGCGTTAATTTAGTAGTCTATCAACATACTCTAGATTTACTTTTATAATGATCTATTGAATAATAAAACTAATCGCTTAGAATAAAATTGTTCAAGATTAATAGTTTTCTTTCTGGAACTTTCACTTTGGTAGAATAGACTTCTGTGACCAAAAAAATTTAGTATCACTGGGTAAACAATTATACATTAAAGCTATTACACTACATACGTTGACATCTTCTATTGAAATTCTTTGTCATTAAAATATTGTTTTAATGGATTTAAATTTATTTTGCTTAGCTGAATGCAATATCCATACATCTCCTTCTCCTGGAATTCAAGTAAGACATGTCTACACACCCTCTACCACAAAGCACTTCTCACCCATAAAACAGTCAACTACTTTAACCAACAAACACAGAGGAAATGAGGTCTCTACCACACCTCTGTTAGCAAATTGTAAGTATGTGCTACTAATGTCTTAAAATGTTGTTACTAGTAGAGTAGTTTCAAGAGTTTGGCTTTGAAATACTATTTTCAGGAAATGCATATTCTTTTGAAAAATGATGTCCTCATACTTTTAGTAACTTAAAACTTTTTTATGTATCATTATATACTTAAAGGATTCATGTTTCCTCTGTTGAGAACAAATACAGCTTGAAATATTAATTATTAAAAGCTTTATACCTTTGCTTCTAAAACAGTAATTAATTGCTGGGCACGGTGGCACACACCTGTAATCCCAGCATTCAGGGATCTGAGGCAAGAGGATCACCACAGGTTCAAGGCCAGCCTGGGCTACATAGTGAGTTCAAAGCCAGCCTAAGCTACAGAGTGAGATCCAGTCTCAAAATAAATAAAAAATAAAAACAATAATTGTGAACTTTTTGTAAATTAAGATGTTGTCATTGTATTGTTTCTTAGTACAAAATTTCATATTTTACTTATAAACAAGATCAGTAATCAACAAATTATTTTCTGGGACAAGGTGGATGATTTCTATTATTGTATTTGAATATAGTAGTTTCAATACAAATGACCTCTTTTAAAACTTGGAATCTGTAATTTTTAAGCATATATGGTCATTGTAGAGGAAATAAAGTTTTTCTATTTAAATTAAAAATATTTTATGCAGAATAGGTACATAAATGAGAGATAAACAGCAATTTGATGTTAGTTACTGTATTTGAAAGTATAATGTAAATGTACCTATATTCCAAAGCCCTGTGAAATCTTTCTTTTTACATTGGACATACCAAACCCCTTTTGATTTCTGAATCACATGCTGTAGCAGCTGAAAGAAGAGTGTCCCTCTAGAACCTTTCTCTACCTGTTGGCCTGTTCTGGCTTATTTAAATCCTCCCAGTTGCTTTTCTTTGTGTATTAAGCTACATAACCATATTACTGAAGTCAATGATCCAAGCAACACTAAGGTTTTTTAGAAGAGCTCTCAAACAACAGTACCTTTGTGGCATTACTCTAAAATAGAGATTCAACTTAGCATATTCCAGCCATAGAACGTCTCAGCTGAAAAGGAATAAATAGGTACAGATCATCTGGTTCACGTTCTTCATATTACAAACAGCTGTTTCATAAGTTCTCCAAGACCACGTGGCTGGTTAGCCACAGTTAGGCCTGTCCTCTAGAATTTACTCTCAAAAAAAATTAAGAATCTACTCTCAAGGCAAGTTTCTGTTTATTACTTCACTCTTTCTAATGTGAAGAAAAACTCATGGGCTCTTAAAATGAAAATATTTAGGATTTCTAAAAAGCTAGACATGGTGCCACACCCTTGTAGTCCCAGCTGCCTGGGAGGCTGAGGTGGGAGGGCTCCCTGCTCAGGAGTTTGAGGCCACCCTCGGCAACAAGGTGAAATGTTGTCTCAAAAAAACAAATGTTGTCTCAAAAACCCGAAAAACACTTCAATGGACTCAATCAGTAAGAAGACAAAAGAATGTCTTTGTCTCTTTCAGACCTGTCTTCTTCATAAGTTTGGATACAGAGATAACATTTGTAAAATGAAGTGTGTAAGGCGTTTCTTTGGAATAAAATAGTTTTGTTGAAAATAACAGTTTGCGGATGTCAAACAACAGTACATCAGTAAACATGCAAAAGTCATTCTCGGGTACGAACAGGTACCTGTAATGTTAGAATATACTTTAGCTTAGATTTTTTAAATGAAAAATTGAGTTCTTATTTTGGGAAAGAAATTTGCCCCCGAACATGAACTGTGGGCAGGTGAGCACGGCAGATGGCAAGCAGCGTTTTCTG